ACACACACACACACACACACACACACACACACACACACACACACACACACACACACACACATACATACATACATTCATGTTAACCTAATCTAAATAGGGACATTGCATAGATGTCTATTGTTTATATATATGTGACCCTTGACCACAAAACCAGTCTTAAGTCGCTGGGGTATATTTGTAGCAATAGCCAAAAATACATTGTATGGGTCAAAATTATAGATTTTTTTTTATGCCAAAAATCATTAGGATATTAAGTAAAGATTATGTTCCATGAAGATGTTTTGCTAATTTCCTACCGTAAATATATCAAAACTTAATTTTTGCAAAACTTAATTTAATATGCATTGCTAAGAACTTAATTTGGACAACTTTAAAGGCGATTTTCTCAATATTTAGATTTTTTCATAAATCCATTTATGGATTTAAATTGAATATTTCCATATTTTCAAATAGTTGTATCTCGGCCAAATATTGTCCTACTCCTATCCTAACAAACCATTCATCAATGGAAAGCTTATTTATTCAGCTTTCAGATGGTGTATAAATCTCAATTTCGGAAAAATTTACACTTAAGACTTAAGAAGTTTTGTGGTCCAGGGTCACATTTATATTTACAAATGAGGAGGTTTTGAAAGATTCTGTCAGGTTTACCCATGCAGAGTGCATATAGTACTTTATCATAACATACTCTTCTGGAGCCAAAATTAGTGTTATGCATCTTTAATATCAGGGTAAAACAGATGGGAGCAAATGGAATTTACAAATTTCATTCACAAGAGGCCTTTAGATTACATAAAAATGGACAATTAGGGAATATTGTTCAAACAACATTGAGAAGAAAACTGCTCTAGGGTGGATAAATAATGGCTTGAATAAGCCATCACAAAGTTTAACCTAAAAAAATATAAATGGCTCATTTTAATCGCAAGGCATGCTTCTCAGACAAACTCATCATTAGATAAATACTGTATATCATCAGCTTTGGGAAAAATACAGAATTGAAGAATTTCCTCCCTTTCAGTCCATGAGTTGGAATTTAAATATAATTGGTCTTATCTGTCTGTCTGTCTCTCTGTCTTTCTATCTATCTGTCACCAAAATTCAGTGAGTGTGTGTCT